CACCTCCAATAGCTCAAGAAGAATGATACAACTTGAGTGGAACTTGAGCAGAGAAGAAGAGATTAGAAGCCAAGACGAAATACAGAGGAAGAAGAGAGAATTGGAACAAGCTCTCAAGCTTTTCCAAGAAGGGTTTTTAGAGACTTTTCTCAAGATAATCAACAACCTCCTCATGAAGAAAACATCTCTAATTTATAAGAGAGAAGGGAGCAGGCAAACAGTCATTTTACCTCCATCTAAACCAATCAGAAATGGCCAGGTTTAATTCCATAACAGCACCCGAAAAGGCATCACAGAGAACCGGGTAAAACAGCTACGGGAAAGGAGCAAGCATCCAGGAAATCGGAATAGAGCCAGGGGAAGCGGAATAGCCCACGGGAAACAGCACTAGGGAGAAACCGAGGAGACACAAAGAAGAGGAAAATGCAAGGTTCCAAGTCCACATAATGAGATTTCAAGCTCTGTTTAAAATTGCGCAATAAGAGGCGCGCCTTGAGGCGCGCCTCTACGCAATTCTATCCAAAAGTGCCTCGAGGCGCACGCAATTTGGACACTGATTGAGGCGTACGCCTCACCCTGTGTGAGGCGCGCCTCAATTGAGCAATTGCGCAATTATGGGTGAGGCGTACGCCTCATCCAAATGGTCTTACCTACTTAAAATCAACCATTAAAAAAGCGGACGAGGCGTCCGCATTGAGTCGTGTATTTGCGTATAGGATTAGGGCTTCTTGTGAGAATTGAAAGTCGAACTAGAGGCGAAGCCGTGAGGGAAATAGACGAAGCTGTGAGGGAAGGAGACGAAGCCGTGAGTGTATGAGATGAAGTCGGAAGGAGACGACGCAGGGAAAGAAACGAAGCCGAAGTTGTGAGTGCAGGAAACGTTCAGGCATCGGTTAGGTCGGAAGAGCAGGTACGCGGTGTTGTGGCCTTGACTTTGACGTACAGTAACGAAAGCTTGAATAACTCCTGATTCGGCTTTCTTTCATTCGTCCGCTCAATACATGCTCGGTACCGCTCAGTACATGCTCGGTACCAAACTAGTACCGCTCGGTACTGAGCGGTACA